ACTAAATATTTGCACTCTTAATCACTGTAGTTAAAACCGTTTTTTAACTTCTTTATTTCAACATGAGAAATGCTTGTTGAATTTTTGCAGAAAGTCTGACGGTTTTTGCGATTTAATTGTTGTTTTCCGTAAACATGCAATATAGATTAATGCTTTTGACTTCTGCGCGGTTAAATTTAGTTTTAAGTCTGTCTGACAAAAGACATTTTTATTCAGTTCATTCACTTTCTATTGAGAAAATGATTCAAATGCTCCTTTTTTCTTTTTGGGAGGTTACTTTTAATATTTCAGTACAATTTAAAATGTACTTTAATAAAGTAAATTTTTCCTCAATATATTAATACATTTCAGTTTTTTTATTATATTTACTATTAATTATTATTAATATTAATACAATTTAAGATATAATTTTCTATTATTATTGTTACATTTTTATATTGTGCATTATATGATTAAATATGATTTTTGAGAGATTGTTTTTTTTATAATACTTAAGTACAATTTAAATTAGTATTTTTTTGTAACTTTCACTCAAGTATGTTTAATATGAATTATTATTAATTGAATATAATTTTTTATATTGTGTGTTATGTATATTATTAAATATTCATTTTGAGAGGTTACTTTTTTAATACTTAAGTCTAGTTTTAAGTGCTTTTTTACTTTCACTACTTTGGCAAGATTTTTATATGTAATATAAAAATAACAATATAAAAATAATCTGACATATATATATATATATATATATATATATATATGTATGTGTGTGTATATATATATATATATATATCTGCATGTGTGTGTGTATATATATATATATATATATATATATAAATACACACACAAACACACACACATATGTCAGATTATTTTTAATATGAATTATTATTAATGCATTTTATATGTGTGTTATTTATGTAATTTAATATGAACTTTGAGAGGTTACATTTTTAATGCTTAAGTGCCATTTTAAATTGTACTATTTAACTTTCACTCAAGTATTTTTTTCTGCCTGATAATTGCACTTTAAATGATTAAATTATCACTGACTATCAGTACTTTCACAGAGAGTAGAGCACAGCGCCAGCAACGCCAAGGTCACGGTTCGATTCCCAGTTAAACACATGAATGCAGTGGCTGAAGGTGAATGTGTGTAAGATGGCGCTGGTGTTTGTCTTGCTGTCATCTGGTTTGTGACTCAAGGAGCTCGTCATCCGTCTGCAGTGGAAGCGGTTTGATGTTTGTGAGGCTCTATTTTGAGTGTGATTTTCTATTGTGATGTGATTCTTCAGCGGGAGTCTCGGAGGAAGAAAAACTGAAATAATCCAGACAGACTGCTCTATATGAGGACAGGACATGTTTTCATCTCAGTCCTTTATTAGATGATGATTTGATCATCGGACGTTCACCAGACGTTCTTCATGATTTCATGCTGAGCGTGAGACTGAAGGTGTTTTTCTGCCGTTGGATTGAGATGGCAGTGCTATTATGAAAGTTCACACCGTTTGTCTGTTGATCTCTGTGGTCGACAAACAATCAGGAGTTTTGCAAAGCAGAAAATGGAAAGAGAGTTTGATGCTTGCAAAATAAGAGCAACATACAGATGCATGTGTGGTTTCACGTGTGTTTTACATGGGAAGTTTTATAAGACAAGTGCTTCACTTCATCAGATTTTTCTAGATGCACCTTTATATGGTTGATTTGTTATTAAGCTAAAAACTGATTCAAGTGAAAATTAATGGAGATGAATTAAAATGATAGATTTAAAAAAAATAAACAGCTAATATAGGCAATGCTAGTATCGACACAGTATGATTTGATCAACATATCATGTTCCCATCTCTACATCTGTGATGTACTCAAAAACCTTGCGCTGAGATATATATATATATATATATATATATATATATATACACTCACTGGCCACTTTATTAGGTACACCTTGCTAGTACCGGGTTGGACCCCCTTTTGCCTTCAAAACTGCCTTAATTCTTCGTGGCATAGATTCAACAAGGTGTTGGAAACATTCCTCAGAGATTTTGGTCCATGTTGACATGATAGCATCACGCAGTTGCTGCAGATTTGTCGGCTGCACATCCATGATGCGAATCTCCCGTTCCACCACATCCCAAAGGTGCTCTATTGGACTGAGATCTGGTGACTGTGGAGGCCATCTGAGTAAAGTGAACTCATTGTCATGTTCAAGAAACCAGTCTGAGATGATTTGAGCTTTGTGACATGGTGCATTATCCTGCTGGAAGTAGCCATCAGAAGATGGGTACACGGTCGTCATAAAGGGATGGACACGGTCAGCAACAATACTCAGGTAGGCTGTGGCGTTTAAACGATGCTCAATTGGTACGAAGGGGCCCAAAGTGTGCCAAGAAAATATCCCCCACACCATTACACCACCACCACCAGCCTGAACCGTTGAGACAAGGCAGGATGGATCCATGCTTTCATGTTCTTTACGCCAAATTCTGACCCTACCATCTGAATGTCGCAGCAGAAATCGAGACTCATCAGACCAGGCAATGCTTTTCCAATCTTCTATTGTCCAATTTTGGTGAGCCTGTGCGAATTGTAGCCTCTGTTTCCTGTTCTTAGCTGACAGGAGCGGCACCCGGTGTGGTCTTCTGCTGCTGTAGCCCATCTGCTTCAGGGTTCGACGTGTTGTGCGTTCAGAGATGGTATTCTGCATACCTTGGTTGTAACGAGTGGTTATTTGAGTTACTGTTGCCTTTCTATCATCTCTAACCAGTCTGCCCATTCTCCTTTGACCTCTGACATCAACAAGGCATTTTCGTCCACATAACTGCCGCTCACTGGATATTTTCTCTTTTTCGTACCATTCTCTGTAAACCCTAGAGATGGTTGTGCGTGAAAATCCCAGTAGATCAGCAGTTTTTGAAATACTCAGACCAGCCCGTCTGGCACCAACAACCATTCCACGTTCAAAGTCACTTAAATCCCCTTTCTTCCCCATTCTGATGCTCGGTTTGACCTTCAGCAAGTCGTCTTCACCACATCTAGATGCCTAAATGCATTGAGTTGCTGCCATGTGATTGGCTGATTAGCAATTGGTGTTACCAAGCAATTGAACAGGTGTACATAATAAAGTGGCCGGTGAGTGTATATATATATATATATATATATATAAAATCTTGTGCACCACTTGAACTTGCTTAATGGTTTTAATATGCAGTGTTTCAGTCATCAGACCTTTTTCAGGCATAGTACATACAAAAGAAGTTCACAAATATAAAAATACATACATGGTTTATTTTTAACTCCTGCTGTCCCACAACCCCACAGCTGAACGACACACCTGGAGACGCTTTCATTCACCCTGATCTTAGATGTTAGAAAACGTTTAGAAAAGTTTTAGGTGATCTTTTAATTCCCACTGACTTAAATGTGAATCTGCTGTGCTGGTACTTTTAGATTTAAGTGCTGCATTCGAAACAGTTGACCATCATGTTCTTCTTTCTTGGTCAGAGCAGTTTGTGGGCATTAGAGGAAATGCTCTAAGTTGCTTTGAATTGTATCTTAAAACAGAAGTTTCTGGGTCATTGTAGGAGAATTACACTTGGGTATTGTTCTCCTGACTTATGGTGTCCCGCAGGGCTCTGTTTTGGGCCCTATATTGTTTTTCTTCATATGCTTCCCTTAGGTTCTATTTCTGAAAAGCAGCGCTTGTATTATCATTCTTATCTGTAGGAATACTTACTGAATTCTATTAGAACCGCACCAAAAGCACATATTTTTAAGTAAAAAATTGTAAAATATTATTAGAATGTAAAATATCTGTTTTCTATGTGAATCTCTGTTAAACTGTAATTTATTTCTGTGATCAAAGCTGAATTTTCAACATCATTACTCCAGTCTTCAGTGTCATGATCTTCAGAAATCATTCTAATATGCTGCTTTGCTGCTCAAGAAACATTTCTGTTTATTATCAATGTTGAAAACATTAATATTTTTGTGGAAACCGTGATACATTTTATTTTTCAGGATACACAGATGAATAGAGAGTTCAAAAGGACAGCGTTTATTTGAAATAGAAATTTTGTAACATTATAAATGTCTTTACTGTCACTTTTGATCAATTTAATGCGTCCTTGATGAATAAAAGTATTAATTTCTTTAAAAAAAAACTCAATCTTACAGTACGTGCAGTAGTATCAGACAGACAGGCGCCGCTGCATCAGGACCGTCACACTGATGTTCTCCTCAATCATATATGAATATGACAGTGTTTTCTCCCATTCTCCCTGTCCTCTCCTGTGGTGAATGTGTGTTGGACAGCAGCTCTAATGCCACTGCGGTTTCATCATCATCATCATCATCATCATCACAGCAGGATGTCCTTCATCTGTCTCTTCCTCGCAGGCTGTTCTCTCTGAATGTGTTTAGTCACTGTTCTCCAAATGAACATGTTCAGCTGTGAGAGAAAATCACTGTGAATGAAAATAACCAGACAGTATCATGGTGTTCTGTCAAGTGTTTTAGCGTGTAAATACTGCGGTATATGAATATGGTAATCGTTCTGTACTGTAAAATTTGACTCAGATTGTCAGTATGATGGTTTAGAGCAGAGGTTCAGAAGTCCTTCTGAACGTTCACGTTCTCTGATGTTGGTTAATGCAGGTAAACAAATAAAGTGTTTTATTTTGATTGTTTTTATTGATTTACTTTTATATTTGTATGATAATTTTAAAATAATTTCTTTTTCATTTTACATTTTTATGATTTAAGTCATTTTCAGTAAGTGTATTTTTTTATTTTAAAACTATTTATTTTGTTTCATTTTACGAAATAAATGCTGGTCTATTCTATGCGATGGTTGACTCTCCAGCCGTCTCACAGTGTCTCCGCATTATCTCGGGGTTTTCTGGATCTTTGTAATTCAGTTCTTCTCATGATGCTGTGTTTCTGTCATTAGTCGTAACAGCTAGTTAGGATAAAAGCTGCTGCTGAATGAATGAATGAATGAATGAATGAATGTTGGGTTCTCTCTCTGTTCTCAGGACAGCGGCTCTGAGACGCACCGCATCGCTCCGTCTCCCGTCGTCCATGTGCGAGGACTGTGTGAATCCGTGGTGGAGGCCGATCTGGTCGAGGCCTTGGAGAAATTCGGAAACATCTGGTAAAGTGATGCTTTCATTTGATCTGATTCATCAAAGGGATTCGTTTCAGCAGCCGAGAGATTCGTTTGGTGCTCTTCCCTCATAATGAATGAACAGATACAGGCTTTAACGAGTGTTTCATTCCTCAGACAAACAGCTTCATGTTCACCACAGTCTCAATAATTAACGCGTTTGACAGCCCTAGTTTAAAATTACATTTTTTGTATAGTTTTATTTTATTTCAAGTAATTATTTATGGTTTCAGTTAATGACTATTATAGTTTTTGTTAATATTTTGAATTAAATTTTATTTCCACTTTCTGTTTTCCCTTTAAATTTAGTTTAATTTTTAGTCATTTTTTACAATTCAATTCAATTCAAATTTATTTGTATAGCGCTTTTCCTGATACAAATCGTTGCAAAGCAGCTTTACAGAAAATTTAAGTTTGTATTTTAAAGTTTCTACATTATATTTAGTAGTAGCCTATCAATGTCAAGTTGATGTCGATATGGCAGAAATGTACAGTAAAAATCATGCAGTTAGTTGATGTCATGTAATCAAACAGACGATGAACGCTATTAACAGCAATGATTATATGTTGCGATTAAACTTATAGCAAAATTTGGTAGTTTTGTATGTTGTTTGAGGGTTGGCATCATCTCTTCTCAGGTGTTCGGTCCTCTCATTATTATTATTATTTTTTTTTTTTAGTTTTCAGTGAGTTTGGCGTTTTAGTGAAGTTCTGCTGCTCTCCTGCAGTTACGTGATGATGATGCCGTTCAAGCGGCAGGCTCTGGTGGAGTTCGAGGAGGTTCAGAGCGCTGACCGCTGCGTGGCGTGTGGCTCGCAGGAGCCCGTCTACATCGCAGGACAGCAGGCCTACTTCAACTACTCCACCAGCAAACGCATCACGCGGCCCACCAACGCCGACGACCCCAACAGCGGGAACAAAGTGCTGCTGCTGTCCATCCAGAACCCGCTCTACCCCATCACTACGGTAAACCTGGCCTCACTCACCTCAGCCTCCCGACGCTCACACGCTCTCAACTAGGGATGCCAACGATTAATCGACCATTTGTCGATAAGAGATGCAATCAATTAAAGCTATCGATGGTCGATTAAGCAGTTTAATCTTGGGCTGCATGCTGCTCGTGCGCAAAACACGTGCAAGCGGCTGTGAGTGACGGTGACAATTTACTAACGTACAAATTACACCTCTAGTGTGATCCAAACTTTAACAGTACATTAAAACAGAAACAACACAAAGTTCTTTTGTATTGAAATGTAGTAACTAAGTCATGTTTAATTATAATTTCCCCTGATAATTGTTTCATATCGGGCTCTACGCTTTGACAGGGCTGTGGACACGAGCAGGACAGATATATATATATATATTAGGGCTGTCAGTTTAACGCGTTAACTTAATTAGTTAGAAAAAAAATAACAACGCGATTAAAATATTTTAATGCAGTTAAAGCACTAGCCCCGCCCCCAGACCTGTACATCATCTAACATTTCATACAGCTGACTGTTGACAAATATGATGCAGGGCAACAACTTCATAAATGCAGTTATGCCCTAAAATTCAAGATATTGGTGCAAAAATGCCCCTGTATGAGTTTTTGTCTCATATTTATATCATACAATAAGCGATATCACACGAGCAGCGAGAGCAATATCACACGAGTGCTGTTTGTCCCGAATATCACGAGTGCAAATGTGATTTTATACCACAGTTCAGTAAATAAGAATGTTATATTTTAAACACAATATTATGTGTTTTTGTTCAATTTTGCAGAGAACATTACCTTTAAAGCCACAGCAGAACTGTTGTGCGTCTCCGAACAACACAGAGATGTTTAGTTTCTGAATGAATCCGCGCTTTGAACGAATCGTGTGAATCAATGATTCAAAGCCCCATTCATTGAGAGAGCCGTTTACTGGATTCTTGAATGAATCAGCCGTTTGAACGAATCGAATGAAGACATTAACCGCCACCTGCTGGCAGATTTAGTTTCTTATTTAGAGTATCATTTAATTAATAATAATAATAACATTAAAGGGAAATTTCACCCAAAAAAATTTAATTCTGTCATCATTTACTCTCGGATTTACCCTCATGTCGTTTCAAACCTTTCTTTTGTGGAACATAAAAGAAGGTATTTTGAAGACTGTTGGTAACTAAGGTGTTCTGGTTACCAATGACTTTCATTGTTTGAACATTATGTAAACAAAAACTTTTATTTTGGATGCGATTAATCACGATTAATCGTTAGACAGCACTACTATATATATATATATATATATTTATATATAGCCTGTGTATAATTAATTCCTACAACTTGTTAATTCGTTCCTACGACTTATTAATTTGTGGCCACTGTCCATGTTTCACTAATTTGTTCCCTAGAAAACCAATGATTTAACTAAAATGAGGGAACGAATTCTTAATTCATGGTCACTAAATCTTTTATTTCCCACCCGCACAGTAAGAGAGGCGATTTTAACAGTGATTAAAAGTGAATAACAATAAAAGAAACCTGCAAAATTAGAGGGTGAGACGGTGAGGATTTGGGAAAAGAAGCTTTAAATATTATTACATTTGTAGAAATTCGTGACTCACTGGCAAAACAGAACACAAAGCCCCGTCTGGCTTTAAATGTATCGAACGATGTCACGATGTAACATTTGCCTGCTAACCCAATATTTCTCTTATAAACAAAGCTTTGTAACGCACTTGTGTCATAATACTCACATTAAAATGTTTCATGTGAGCAGCAGTGTGTTTTGCCGCAGCACCGCTGGTGGTTGGAAGCAGCATTTATTGATTGTTAATTTAAACGATGATCGATCATGGAAATTATCGAAAATTGACATCCCTACTCTCAACAGCTTCTGCTCTTCCTCTTTAGGATGTTTTGTACACGGTCTGTAACCCGATCGGAAACGTGCTGCGCATCGTGATCTTCAAGAGGAACGGGATCCAGGCCATGGTGGAATATCCTTCTGATGATGTGCTCACACTCACTCACACTTACAGCCGATTTTCAATCAGAACTTAACCATAAACCGTTAAACACAGACCAGTTATGATTTCAGAGGCTGTTAATCGATGGTTTATGCTTCTTCCAAAGCCGTCAGGCAGCATTATTTCAACTTATTTTCTAAATAATTGTTCAATAGCAGAACTCATGATTAAAAACTACATTTCCCATGATTCTGCAGAGAATTCTTCACCTATCAGAGAACAGAAACAGGCGAATTCTGCCAAAAGAAATCTTTAGCTCCGCCCACTCCAATGAAGCGCTGCAAATAACTAGTAAATGCTCTTAAAATTCTTAAATATTTGCATGTATAAAATATAAAATAAATATTTTGCCAAATAGTTTGACGTGTGTGTGTGTGTATAATCAACAGCTATTCAAATCAATTAATTTAAACATACACTATTTAAAATGTATTTAAAGAAACAGAAAAAAAAAAAAACTTTTTTTTAATTTAAATATAGTAAAAGGACATGCAAAAATGAAATTTATTAAAACATATTATGAATATAATATTGAAATTTTTAATATTATATTTATTAATATAGAATATAATTACTAAATTAGTAATTGATTTGATAAATTGATAAAATGAATAAATATGAGATAATAATTTGAAAATTAAAACTGTAACATAAAGAGATTCATTTAGATTACAACTGCTTGATTCTGTTATCCCATCAAGGTATTTTTCACTAATAAAGAAATTGTTAAAAATATGAATAAAAAAAAGAAGTAAACGCTGAAATGGAAAGTGCACTAAACTGGTACGTTTGTGCACACTGGGAATTATGTTTTTTCAAAATAAGACAGGTTAGCATTAATTTTACATTTAGTAATTATAACATGAATATTTCTATTTTCTATATTTCTATTTTTGGAAATTTGGAAACTTTTTTGATGCAAAAATTTCATAAACTACCCTCTAAAAACATAATATAAAGATCTGAAAATGCATTTGTTTTTTAAATCTGTTTTTTAAAAGGAAATGCTGCACGTGTGGAGTCTGATGATGAGCATGATATTTACGTCCCTAAACCTCACGTGACCTTCATGGCCTTTCATTAAGACGTTAGGTTCGTTTGTATCAGCTTGTGCTTTTGGATGTACGTTCGCTCCCCGGACACACATTACACACGCTCATTAAATATGCATGTATCCCAGCAACACACAGCAACGAGACGAGCTTCAGCAGCCCGTTTACATGCTGTTTACTCCCAGCTGAAGCTGTGTTGTTGTTGTGTTGTAAGTGTGTGTTCTGTGGAGTTTTTCCTTGACAGCCGTCACGTTCGAATCCATCCAGAACGCTCAGAAGGCCAAAGCCGCCCTCAACGGGGCCGACATCTATGCCGGCTGCTGCACGCTGAAAATCGAATACGCTCGGGTAAATGTGCAGCGTTCACACACACACACTCACACACACACTCACACACAGCGCTGGATCTAACACACATGCAGTGCCGTTGTGCTCTCTCATTCTAGCCCTCACGCCTCAACGTCATTAGAAATGACAACGACAGCTGG